TTATATATATATACACATACTTACATATATACTTATATAGGCCTATATATACTTATATATATACACTTATATTCTTATATACTTATATATAATGTACACTTATATATAAGTATATATACACACACATAAACATATATATATATACTGTACATACATATGTGTGTATATATACGTATATGTATATATATATATGAATATATATGTATATGTGTATATATATATATACGTATATATATACATATATATATATATACACGTATATATACTTCTAAAAGTCGTGTATCATGCATAGGAACGTTGACGCCTGCAAGGCTCTGGTTTAAATTTTAAATTTAATACAGCATGTCTGTTCTAGCTAATATAACTTACTAATATACAGTAATTACATTTTATAATTGTTTTTAATGAGGGATTAATTGTCAATAAACTTTCCTCGACAACGAATAGATGCATTAAATTATTCATACATTCTATGCATAGACCCTTAAATTTGAATATATGTAATATGTACAATAAATTTCTGTGTTAAAAACAGTTGTGAAAGGGTATTGAAATAGGGGTAATGACGGGAGTGAAGGTGAAGTGGTAGGACGCGGCGATAAAGTGAGGGAGAACTAGCTGGCAAAATGAGGTAGTTTGAGGTGAATATCTAACTACTTCAGCATATAATCACCAAATACACAATAATAATAATAATACCTAAATATCTGTAAAGCGCCAATTTCAAATTGAATGATCAAAGGTGCGAGCGTTATTACCCCTGGTCACTGGATAACATACAATGGCAAACCTTCTCTGCTCATTGGGGGTATACCTAGTCATTCGCCCCTTTAGCGCACGAAATTAGTACTTTCAATGCCACAACTGAGTTGTTTTTAATAACTTATTTTAGTTTTTTGAATAAGCATTTCACATTTTTAATTACATATTTAAGGGATTTCAACAATTAAATAACAGACTTAATTAAGTGTTCATTGATCAGTGATTTGATAATAATGATATATTTGTTCAATTTTTAGATGTTATGCTATAATCAACATTAAATACGGTAATAAACATATATTACAATAATAATAGGGTAATTATTGTTCAGTTTGGACTGACAGATTTCTATTAAAGAGCGCAATCATGTAAAGTATGTTAAATTGTGAATGATAATGATGTGGATAAGTCAATATTATACCATGGAGTAAATGAATTTCATGGTGATAAAAGTAATGTACGAGTGCAGTGTGAAGAATATTTTCATGAATTGGAAAATGGACTGTTCTATTTAGTGAGGCAGTGCCAAGATGAATGGGACAGTTCATATTTTAACAAATATAAAACAGTCTGCATTTTTTTAATAATAAATACTGTACACATAAATTTCTAAAATAGATTTTTTTCATTTCATATTTTATGGAAATAAGGTTAGGTCTGCCTTCCTTCCGAATGGAATAGTTCAACTTCTTTCAACAAAAATGTTCAAAGTACAATGGATCAACATGAACAGATAAAAGTGGAACTAAATTCCATGACGAACAAAAATAAATTATTTTTGTTAATAAATGGTGTAAATATGCAGTGCCACATGATGTTATGTCCACCAATCAAATGACAAGAATATGTTAAGGTGTGTTAATGTTGTTTATTGTAATGAATATACAGTATTTTATTAATTGCCATGCATTTCTAATTCTGAATAAATATATTGATTTGCATTGTTGAATGTATTGTACTGTGTGTGGTAGAGGAAACCAAGACACCGGGTAATTCGCCCCATGGATCACTTCCAAGAGATTTTGATCGATGCTCGAGCACGCCCACTTACACTTTTGTCGGGATG